GGAGATTAGTATAAGGTTAGGTAGGGTAGTGCAGTGTAGAGTAGGTTAGGCCAGGGCACTGCAAGGTAGGGGTAGTGTAGTGCAGGGAGATTAGTGTAAGGTAAGGTAGGGAAGGGCATGACAGGTTAGTGCAGTGTAAAGTAGGTTAGGATGGCGCAAATGGTAGAGTAGTGTAGAAGAGGTAAGGTAGGGTAGGATAGAGTAAAATAATGTAGGATAGGTAGAGTCCTCCTGAAGCACTCAAAGGTCCTTTTGGTCTATGTGAATGAGTGCTAACCCATCACCCATACTGAGCCACAGGAATTCTGATTAAAGCTAGGGCCCGGTTGTACGAAGGGTGTATAATAGCACTATACAATGGATAAATCCTTATCCAGTGAATAAGTGGATGGTGTTATCCAATAAATTTATCCACTGGATAAGATTAATCCATCGGATAACAATATTATCCCTTCGTAAAACCAGAGCAGGGTAGTGTACAAGTAAACAAGATCCAAAAGTGTTTACCAACAATATTCCATGTTTCCACTTTTTCTTAACAAACAATAGCAAGCAAGCAAAGACCCTTGGGCATAATGTTTACCCATTTCAGACCACATCTCATTCCCTTGAGAATAAGATTCTTTCTTTGATTCATATCTATATATAAAGGTTCAAAACATAGGGTGAGGGCTTTCATTGAAATTCAAGACCGAGGGCACAGCCCTCGGTCTTGAATTTCAATGAAAGTCCGAGCCCGTAGTTTTGAACTGGTTTAATAACCAGCCATGCCCCAATTCTATTGTTTTAATAGGACAGGTCTTGAATTTCAAATTCAAAACCTGGCCCGGGTTTTGAATTCAGCCCCACTCTCCCCTGCTGATAATCAAAGCCGCCCCCGGCTTTAAGAATGTAGGTCTTACTCAGGGTTTCAAAACCTACATAAAACAATAGAATTGGGGCGTGGCTGGTTATTAATTATGTTTCTTCTAATACAAAACTGTTAAACAATGAAATGATACTCTAGGGAATGGCATTTGATTTGAATTGGGAAAACATTACACCCAAGGTATATAGGTATATCCTAAATAACCTATACCGTGTGTTTAACAGTTAGGTCACTATAAAAATGACTCTTACTGGTACTCAGCAAGCATGTTGCCCTAAGATACAGTGGTATAACAAAGAGGGTGGTAAAAGATTGACAAACACCCTAATGCTGCTAAAATTCAGGTTTTGATGTTAAATATAATTTTTTTACAAAACAAATTCAAAGGAATTGTATTTCATTCGACTTTGGGACAACAGAAAAGTCCCTTTGTGGCTAAATAGCTCATAGTGACGGGTTTCCTGTAGATTTAGAGTGCATATGAACTATGGGGGACTTTAGCTAGACAATGGGTAAGAAGACAGTTGGAYGTAGAGAGAGTGAAGTGACCAACACCCACATACATCACCGTATCTTCCTTGATCTAGAAGAAATACTTTAGAATTTTCATAAAGTCAATTATTTTAAATAAGCTTTATGCTCCTAATAAACTATTAAATTGTATAGTGGCTTTGCATCCTAACATGATGGCAGCCATGACAGGTGACATGCAATTYCCCCCCCCCCCCCCCCGGGAAACCGAATTCTTTCTCATCTAAACCAGATTACATCAGATTCGATACTATAAATGTGTTTTTTTTAATTATTTATAAATTATCTATATTGTATATCTATATTTTTTTTAAATGCTGTAAATCCTATAAGAGAGTGGTACAAAATAAAGTTGTTGTTGTTGTTCGATATTGTTCCTGCCTCCTGTCATGACTGCCATCATGTGATGGTGCAAAGCCTCTATTATTTAGTGAGAGCCATTAGCGAGAGCCCACTTATTGAAATAATTCCTTGTAGTTAAGGGGAGTTCAAGGAAAGCTGTCGGCATAAATAAGGGTGGGTACTGGCCACCAGGAGATACTCTATTGGTTACTCTTATTTTCAATGTTATGCAAATTATGTTGTTTTGAGCTGTCATTTTGAATTTGTTTGCTGTTGTTGTTGTTTTTACTCCTGTCAATTAAATGACTATACTTAACGTAGGCAAAAAAAATCTACACAATAGAGGCTTTGCACCATCATGTGATGGCAGCCATGACAGGAGGTACAACAATGGAGCCTTTTTCCACATGGAAACAGATTTTTTTCTCATGTAAATCAGATTAGAAAAGATTCAATTTTTCCTTCCTCCTGTAATGGCTGCCATCACATGATGGTGCAAATTAGCCTTTATATGCAGTTTGAACCTTTGATTGCATAACACTGAAAATCAGAAATTATTATGTAAGTGGCTATAACTTATTTCTGTCAGTGACTGGGCTTGTTAAATAAAGCAAGAGAGAAGAATCTTCTGAGTTTGATGCACTACACCAGGTCATGTATATTTACATATGTCAATTAGAACCCTGTTATTTATGAAATACAGGGGCATATCCAGGAATCAAAAAAACCGGTGGACCAGAAAACTGCGACCTGAGAGAAAACCTTCAAGATCATATGCAAATACAATTTTAAGTTTAAAGAAAATACATTATTTAAAGGGGAAGCGCAGCCCGTCAACTCACCCCTAAATCTGCCCCTGAAATGAGTATTGTAAATAGTAAATAAGATCATGCACATTTGTGAATTAACAAACCCTTATGAAGCTATGGTGTTGTTTTAAATCATTTACAACCGCAGGAAACCGAATTGCAATTTTCTAAGCAAGCATGCCTTAATTTACCACAATTCTTTCTGTGGTGACCTTAGCCAACCTGTAGGCATATTAAATTTGGTTTAAATTTTCATCTATATGCCAAGCAAGTACCAGCCGCATTGCAACTGTGTTGGGTAAAAAGACCAATATTGTCTTAAGGCAGGTTCGACCCTATTGATGGGTTGCAAGCATTCCCAAGAGAGTTAAGACAAAAGCATGGCGGCCATTGTGGTGCCATTAACAATGGATGCTAATAAGAAATATTTTGTTAAATGGCACCAACGCCCCCATGAGAGGCTGCAATGACGTAACATGCAATCAAAGAATTGTCTTTTTACTTCTGCTATCAGCAAGAAATGTGCCAGCACTTCTCTTATACATTTTATATTTACACTATATATTTTCAAAGGTCAGGATCCACCATTCCTCACATCCAGCATTCCTCAGACACTGTTCCAGAATTTCCTGAACGTTATCCGTAGGTAAAAACATTTTTAATAAGGTTACTGCATCGTATCATCGTGGAAATAGTTTCTGCCTTGTATGTTTCGTTTAGTTGGCGAGGATGATGGGGTATCTGAGATGACGGTTGGGTTGGTATTAGTAGCGATGTAATGCTTGATCTCGTCCGGGAACTTGGAAGGGTTGGTCAGGATTGATGTGGATCTACTGATGTCTCGTAGTGCTGACAGCACAGCTATGGTATACCAGGCACGTGTAACAGGAAGGAAGGAGGAGAGGAAAGCAAAGGAAAGGGATGGAAGACGATGAGTAAGAAATAAAAGAAAAAAATATTCGGTAAGAAAAAAAGTTAGAAAAAGTTAAAAAAAGGAAAAACAGGAAGATAAAAAAAAACAAGGACGAACATTCTATCGCAAAATTAATCTTGAACAGTATGTTAAAAGCTGTGTTTACAGCGTTTTCTCTTTCCAAACTCAAATGATTAACGTTTTACTGTACAGCCACGACTCGTACAGCCTCAAAAGACGCGCGGAAGTCATTCAAAACTATACGGCGGGAAAGGCGGACTAGAACGAGCGTTAAGACATCACTGGATGTGATCATTGCTTAATGTCGCCCTAGTAACCGCATTATTCTAGATCGTAATGTTGATGTCTATTGTTACTAATGGTACTGCACAGAAAATCAAAGGATAGCTAAAATAAGGAATATCATCTCACCTGGTCTAAGATTAGGAAGCGTGCAGTGTTCATCCAGCCAAGATAGAATGTTAGCACAAAATTCTTTCCAGGTGCTTGTTGATACATTTTGGTTGTAAACCTCGAACATCTTGCGGAATATTACTCCAAGCTAGAGAACAATGTAGTTAAGGAGGTCAAGATAGACGGCACATCCTTGGGTATGCAGTAAGAGCATGCGGTGGTCCRGAGTAGAGAAAAACGATTTCATTATATACATGCATCAGGAGTTCCACGCTACTGTCTAAGCGCATGCTCAAGTGGGACCATGGGTTGTAAAAATTCCTATATGCTTATTGCATTTTTTTTATTAAGCACAATTTTCATTAAATATTCAAGAGCAAGTAGCGTTAAGCTAATTCCAAATCAAATATACCAAAATATAGCATTTTTTACAATCCACGGTCCCACTTTTTGACCACTTGAGCATGCGCTTAGAGCAGTAGCGCGGAACTCCTGATGTATGTATACATAGTGAGACATACTCACTGGAAAGCCATATCGTAAATTATCTAGACTGGGGAGGAGGGACTCCCCCACCCCCTCCTAAAAGCACCGCTACGCAGGCTATAAATGTTCGTACGGAAATGAGTCCTATAGTCAATCAGAGATAGCAAACCCTCCCACCCCTTTCCAAAATGTGAAAAATGTGATCCGTAGTCCGAGGTCACGAATTGATCTAAATTATAAGTAGAAAGGGTATGCAAGAAGGATAAAACGAGCCTGACGTCCACTAACTCTTAGGGACGGACCATAAGATTTTTGAGAGAGGGGGAGGGGGATTGGGGAAAAAAAATTCAAGCACAGCTTTGTAGAGTTTTAAAAAATCGCGTATAAGAAAAGTGCGAGAAAAAATCCAAATTATGTCCAAAAAAATTCCTGCACAGCCATGAGGYGTAAAAAAAATTCCTGCACAAAATAAATTGCATAACTCCCCTCCCTCAAAAATCTAATGGTCCGTCCCTAAGAAAACTTTAGAAAACGGAAGTTTGAGGTGTTAGCACTTGGCACGGTGAGTGGTTTGTTATTGAAAAGCAAATATGCTCTCCTCTGAATGAAACCCAAATATGCTCTCCTCTGAATGAAACCCAAATATGCTCTCCTCTGAAT